AAAAAAAAAAAAAAAAAAAAATCTAACTGGACATGGTGGTACATAACTTTAATTCCAGTACTCAGTAGGCAGAGGCAACAGATCTCTGAATTTGAGGCCAGCCTAGTCTACAGAGCAAGTTCAAGGACAGCCAAGTAGGCAGTAAAGGTTAACAATCAAAACCAGAAAGCTGGTGAAGATGTAATTGAACAAAGGGACCATGTTCCAGCCCCAGCAAGCAGCAGAACCTGGCAGCTTTGGCCATGTGGTTCTGGCTTTAGAGTTAAGTATAGAAGAAAGGAGTTACAAGATTTGCCTCTGAGACTAAGGAAAGCTGCTAAGGCTAGGCATGTGTCAGGGATGTCCCTGCATGGACGTCTAGAGAGGCTATTGTGTGAAGATGTAAAGGTGAAACCTGGATTGCCTTGGAGAATCCAAGATGTTAGAAATGCCAGAGCTTTGGGATACCTGCTGAGAAAAGCTGCTAACAGGGAGTGGAACCAGCCCAATGCAAGAAAGTGTGTTGCAATCAACAAAACTGAAAGGAATTGGAGATCTGAAGAGCATTTTGACAACAGACATGGAGATTCAGAGTTTGGAGTTAACTTAGCTGGTTTTTGATCTTGCTTTGGTCCAATATTTCCTCACTATGCTTTGCTGTGGGATGGTCTGTATGTCAAAGTACTCTGATTGGTCAATAAATAAAACACTGATTGGCCAGTGGCCAGGCAGGAAGTATAGGCGGGACTAACAGAGAGGAAAATGGAGAGAACAGGAAGGCGGAAGGAGTCACTGCCAGCCGCCACCACGACAAGCAGCACGTGAAGATGCCGGTAAGCCACTAGCTACATGGCAAGGTATAGATTTATAGAAATGGATTAATTTAATATATAAGAACAGTTAGCAAGAAGCCTGCCACGGCCATGTAGTCTGTAAGCAATATAAGTCTCTGTGTTTACTTGGTTGGGTCTGAGTGGCTGTGGGACTGGCGGGTGACAGATTTGTCCTGACTGTGGGCAAGGCAGGGAAACTCTAGTTACAATGCTCCCTTCCCTATGTTTTCGAACAGTAATGTATATCCTGTGCCATTATATGTTGGAAGTATGTGATCTGTTTTTTTATTTTTATTTTACAGGGGATTACACTTAAAAGAGATTGCATGAATCTCAGAAGAGACTTTGAACTTTAGACTTTTAAATAAGTTTGAGACTGTCATAGACTATATGGGGACTTTTGAAACTGGACTGAATGCATTTTTGCATTATGATATGGCTACAAGCCTTTGGGGGCCAGGGAGTGGAGTGTGGTGGTTTGAAAGAAAATGGCCCCCAAAGGGAGTGACACTTTTAGGAGATGTGACCTTGTTGGAGGAAGTGTGTCACTGTGGAGGAAGTGTGTCACTGTGGAGGAGGGCTTTGAGGTCTCATATATGCTCAAGATACTGCCCACTGTCTCAGTCCACTTCCTGTTACCTTTTGATCAAGATGTAGCCGACACCATGTCTGCCTGCACCCTGCCATGCTCCCCGTCATGATAATGGATTGAACCTTGAAACTGTAATCCACCCCAATTAAATGTTTTCGTTTATAAGAGTTGCCATGTCATGGCATCTCTTCATAGCAATAGAAATCCTAACTAAGACAGAGGGTAAGAGGTGCTTGCTGCCAAGCCTGATGACCTTGAGCTTGATTCCTGGGACCCACAGAATGGAAAGAGAGAACTGATTCTCAAAAGCTGTTCTCTGACCTCCACACATGTGCCCCTACTAAGATAAATAAATATAAGATTTGAAACCAAACAAAATTGCTACCACCAACACCACAAGGGCAGACAGACATGAGTTCAAGGGCAAACCTTTGAAGGCATCTGTTGCTCCAGGAGCGCAGTTCTTGTCAGGGTGAAACTTCAGGGCAAGCTTCCTGTAAGCTTTCTTAAGTTCTTCATCACTGGCATTGCGAGAAACACCCAGGATTTCATAGTAATTTCTGCACTTCTTGATTCTGAAAAGGAAAAAGTTAAAAGTACGTATATCTACAGAGGCTCTATTTGTATAACTAAATAGCTAAACAATACTTCTCCAACCTGTGAACCCCAAAACAAACCTAAGAGAAATAGTGAACCCATTTATGAAACATCCAAGTCTTCCTCCCCAGACCTCAGGACTTCACGCAGCTCCTGGGTGTACCTTCCACCCCTCCTATATTCACATCAGTGGGCACAAGTATGTTAGCCTTTATGTCAAAGTTCAGGCTAAGATCCTGAAAGGCATCAAAGAACAGCAAAGCTGAAAGAATTAGCTAGCTCTCTTCTTTGGTTTTCTTAAGACAGCATCTCAAGCAGCCCAGGGCAGCCTCGAGCTCACTATGTAGCTAAGGCTGGCCTTGAAGTCTTAATCCTCCTGCTTCCATTCCTCACACACATTGAGATTATAGATGTATGCTCTCACATCTGCCCTTATGGCTATCTTTCAAAATTGTTATGCGGTTCTCACTTTGGGGAGATGGGGAGCAGTTTTGGTCTTTTTTTTTTTTTTTTAAGACAGGGTCTTTCCATGTAGTTCTTGCTGTCTTGGAACTTTCTATGTAGACCAGTCTGTCCTCCAACTCATAAAGATCCAATTGCCTCTGTCTCTCTCCCAAGTGCTGGGATTAAAAGCATACACACTATACTTGGTCTTTTTTATTTTTTTCCAGATAGAATCTCATGTAGTCCAGGCTGGGTTCCAACTCTCCATGTAGTGGAGAATGACTTCTTGTGTGTATGTATGTATCCAGACCAGAGATCAACATCAGATGTTTTCCTTTCTCACTCTTCATCTTATTTTTAAAATTACATTTTCTTTCTTCCCCTCCCTCTTTCTCTCTTTCTGAAACAGGGTCTCACAGTGTAGCCCTAGCTGTCCTGAAACTCACAGAGATCCACCCATCCCTGTTTCTTGAGTGCTGGATTTAAAATAGCATCACTCCCCACACCTGCCCTGATTGGTTTTCTGTGTCTGTGAGACTAGGGTCCAAGTTCGTCCTTTTCATGTGAATATTCAGTTGTCTGAACATTTGCTGAGGACTGTTCTTTCCTCCATTAAAATGTCTGGGCACTTTGTCAACAAAGAATGAACCAGAGCTAGGCTCAGTGGTTGATAGGTTGAGGTAGAAGACTTACTGGGAATAAGTCTGTCTTGGAACCAGTCTATCTACAGAGAAATCTTATCTAAACACAACAACAGTAAAAATCAAGGGCCCATAAACACGAGGTTTATTTTTGGACTCTCAGCCTATTCCACTGAGCTACATGCTCGTCCTCACATCTGTCAGATGGTCTTCATTGTTGCAGTTTTGAAATAAGTTTAAAATTTAAAGCATTACTCATCCAACTCTGATCTCTTTTAAAAACTGTATTGGCTATTCTGGGTCCCTTCCATCTCCATGTGATTTTCCTCTCTCTTCCTTTTTTTTTTTTTTCTTGGACAGAGTCTCCCAGGGCTGCTGGGCAGTGGTGGTACATAACTTTACTCCCAGCACTCAGGAGGCAGAAGCAGGTGAATCTGAGTTCAAGGCCAGCCTGTTCTACAGAGTGAGTTCCAGAACAGCCAGGGCTAAACAGAGAAACTCTGTCTTGGAAAAGCCAAAAAACAAAAACAAAACAAAACAAAACAAAGTCTCCTAGGGTATAGTGGTGCATGCCTTTAATCCCAGCACATAGAAACAAACAAACAAACAACAACAACAAAGAGAGAGGGTTGCTTACGCTATAGTTCCCAGCACCCACATCAAGTGGCTCCCAGCTGCCTATAACTCCATCTCCAGGGGATCTGATGCCCTCTTCCGGTCTCTGTGGGTATCTGCACTCATGTGCACACATCCACACACAGACACATAAAAATAAAATTAATAATAAAAAAAGGGTAGTGCTGTCCTCTCTTTTCGGTCCTGATTTCGTGTATGTCTGTGTGTTGAGGAGCAGACAGCTCCCTATGTAGCTCTGGCCACCCTGGAAGTTGCCTATTCCTCCTGCTCCAGAGTGCTGGGATTATAGGTTTGCACAAGCAGGCATGCCTCATTCCTGATTTTAGTCATTTGAGTATTGTTTTCCCCCCTGGGCAGTATAATTAAAACTTCATCAATCTTGTTGACATTTTAAAGAGTCAATTTAACTCTTGGTTTTTCTCTATTGTTTCCTATTTTCAGTTTCATTTATAGCTACTCTTGTATTAGTTCCTTTATCCTTCTTATGTAGGGTTTTGTTGTTTTGGTCTTTTTTTTTTTTCCCCAGAGTCTCAAACCCCAGATATTCCTGCTTCAGCTTCAGTTCTGTGACAACAGACTTATGCCACCATGCCTACCCTGTAGATTCTTTTTTGTTTGTTTGTTTTGTGGTTCTGGGGGGCAGGGACCCAGGGTCTTGCAATGCTGGGCAGGCATTCCACCTGTGAACTATATCCCCAGTCCTCTTTTCACTTTCTTATTTTGAGACTGAGTCTTCCTAGTTGCCTAGTGTGGCCTTGAACTAACTTTGTAGTCCAGACTGGGCTTAACCTTTCAAACCTCCGCTCTCAGTCTCCTGGCTAGTTGGGATTACAAACCTAGATTATCACTGGCTAAAAGACATCTTTTTAATTTTTTTTAATGTACTGGAGATCAAACCTAGGGCCTCACGCATACAAGGCAAAGCTCTCTCTACTACTGAGCTACATCCTCAGCCCCTGCCTTCTTTGTTTTCTCGGCTCCTCTTAAAGCAAACCACACAACTCCCATTATATTCCAATGCTCCACTCTTACCCAGTCTTTCATCTAAAGTCAAGAAGCTGGTGTCCTTCAATAATACAATAATGGGGTCTGGAGAGATGAATCAGTGATTAAGAGCACTGGCTGCTCTTCCAAAGGACCCGGGTTTGATTCCCAGCACTCACATGGAGCTCAAAACTGCCTACCTGTAACTCCTGTTCCAGCGTCCAAGGCCCTGAGCCTCTGAGGGCTGTACACACATGGTACACAGACATACATGCAGGGAAAACATCTACACACAGAAAATAATAAATAAAACTAAAGAAAAATGGTCATGACACAGGTCAGCAGTTACATAGCACATCCTGAGACACTCTCCTAAGCACTTTATATAAAAATCCCTTATTTACTCCTACTACAACAGCAGTTCTCAACCTGTGGGTCGTGACCCCTTTGGAGCTTGAATGACCCTTTCACGGGGTCACATATCAGATATCCTGCATATGATTCAGACATCCAGACAACAGTGACAAAATTACAATTATAAAAGTAGCAAGGAAATAATTTTATGATGGGGGTCACCACAGCCTGAGGAACTGTATTAAAGGGTTGCAGCATTAGGAAAGTTTGAGAACCACTGTACGACAGGCTTACCTTTGTACCCCAAGTAGCTGTTCCTCTGTATAAGTGGAGCTCCCCTCTCCCTGCCGGGTCTGACTCCACTCATTCTCAGACTTTTTTTCCTTTTGTGCCTTCATGCAGTTACAGCATGCACAGGGATCATGGCTGCCAGGTCGTCTGTCTTCTGAGTATTTGTTTCTTCTAATGGCATCAAAGTAAGCTGCAAAACAACAGCCAATCAACCTCCAGTTCAAACCAACTTAGACTGGGGTTCACTTTTTTTGAGACGGGGTTTCACTATGGCGGGCCTCAAATCCTTGGTCTTCGGCTTCTCCAGTGTTGGAATTACAACCGTATGCTGCTATGCCCAGCTCTACAGTTTTGCTACTTGCCTTAGCTCTCTGTGAGGCAGCTTGTAGATAAGTGCAAAGAAGTGTGAAGTAGTGTCTTTAGATGACTAAAGACATCATGGAGACTTCAAAGTTTCCATTTAAAACTCCAACAAACATCTTCCCTGGGATACTACACAGAAAATACAGTGTGTACCCAAGAACAAATTTTAAATGCCAGAAACACAAAGCCCCAAATGTTCACCATACTTACAGTACTCATTCAACAAATGCTCTTAACTTAGATACAGAAGAAGGGCTTGTGAGGCATCTCTACCCAATACCTTTCCTTTAGTGCAGTGTAGAGAGAGGCCCATTTCTTTGTGCTGCATGGACAGAGGTGACATTGCTCATAAAATAATACTTTGCTTGCAATGTCTCCTGCCTTAAAATTTAAAGCATAGACAGATGCTGTCTCAAAAACAAACAAACAAAACCACAACAAAACAAAACAAACAAAAAGGAATGGAGTAGTTTAATTCTTTTAAACTAGCATTTGCAGGAGCTGGAGAGATGGCTCAGCAGTTAAGATCTCTTGTAGAGGACCTGAATTTGGTTCCCAGCACCCATATGGCAGCTCAAACCTCTTGTAACTCCAGCTCCAGGTGGATCTGATGCCTCTGGCCTCAAAAGGCACCTGAACTCCCAGACACATATTCCTTCCCCCACATACACATAACTAAGATAAAATAAATCTTTTTTTTTTTAATTAAAGGAACACTTGTAGGATTAATATGAACCAAGACACTGGGCTAGGCATATCAGGGGCTGTACAGGTGAGACCAATTCCTATCCACAAAAACATTACAGTTTAGTGCAAGAGGATTCAGCAAGTCCTGAACCTACAAAATGTACAGAACAAGCCAGCGAGGACCGGCCACTCCTGTCTTGTCAGAAGACCTGAAAGGCTTTAAAAACATCTTTCTCTCCTACTTAAGATCCTCCAGTGGCACCCCCTCAACATTCTTCCTTTAAGGTATCCTTCGTATCTTTACATGTAACGTTTGTCTCCACGAAGCTTCTTTTGACACCCAAGCTGTGTTTGGGTACCTTGTCAGTGTGCAACCCAAACCCCCAACCTTGCTGTGGGTAACCCAGGAACTTACTGGCTGTGTTTTGTAAAAGGCTGTTAACCGGTCAAACTCTCTCAGTGGATTGACAGTTCTGTGAGCTCGGGGACCCGCGTCTGTCAAATTCCCCCTGCAGAATCAGCATAATGCAGGACACATGATAGGTATTGGGATCCAAACTTTCTGCCTGGCCGTAGGGTGGAAAAGGACAGACAGCCTACTGGCCTTGATGAGGCCTTGAGGGACAAGATCAAACCGGGGCTGAGAGTCAGGTGGCCATACGCAGAGCAGTTATCCATAAAGGGCAGGTAAGCTACGGAACTCAGCATCCTAAGAGCCTTTGAATCACAGGAGGTCAAGCCTGGCCGGCAGCCGCGGGCTCTGGATGGGGCATGGCCGGGCCGGGGCTGGGGGCTCTGAGGAAACGAGTCGTAGCGGATGACGGGCGACCACAGCCTCTGCCGGAGCCAGCGTTCCCGGCCTCTGCCCTGGGCCCTACCCGAACCCCGCTCAGGCTGAGCATCTTCCCACAAGCCTCCATCTGGCCCAGGATCCCGGCCTTAAGATCCGAGGACCCCGCATCCCTCATCTCTCCGAATGCTGCCTTCCTTGTCCCACCCTTCAGTCGGGGACCTGGTACCTTGGGTCCAGCGCTCCCCGCTGCCCAGAGTGGCCGCCATGTCGGTTTTCGGTCAGCAGGTCGGCGGAGCCTCTCAAGTCCCGGAGGCTGAAAGAGAAGGGGCGCCGAGCGCGGGGCACGCTGGTCATTGTAGTTTAGTCCGAGTGGGCTGCGGAGCTACGCGACTACAAGTCCCAGCGGGGCCCGCGCGAGAGACGCAGAGATGCAGGGGTGTGCAGAGGCTGGACCCCCGGAGGGGGGACTGTAGGGTTTAGTTGGCTGGTTTCGGCGGCGGCCTGGCTGCTGGCTCTGACTCAGACTCATCTGTGGCTGAGGATAGTGGCTTCTCCCCTGCCTGATCCTGACAACATACGAAGATCCTACGGGGCAACGGCTTCGCACGCTGTAGGCCAACCGGCGACATTTACACCCCCAGGAATGTGCGTCTTGAGAATCGAGCAGTGCCTATTCTGTGTAAAATCTATGCTAGGCCCTGGAGATAGAAAGATAGGTTTGGGGAAGGCTAAACTCAACCCTGGGAAGTTTAATGCCCCCCCCCCCGCAAAAAAAAAGAAAGAAAAGTAGGGTGAACGTAATGTAGTTAGTAGTTTTGGTTCCTCCCATCTGAGCTCCTTAGGTATCAGAGGGACCATTATGGGGAGGGTAAGTTTGGGAACTGGCATCAGAGCCCTGTCTTTGCCATTCCTTGTTTTTACTTCATCCCCATCTACTCATGAGCCTCTGAGGCTTCTCTCCTCTGTCCCAGTCCTTTCTCTGGCCCGTTTTCTGAAGGGCCAGCACTAAGGGGTTTGTAAAGAGGAAATGGGGGGGGGGGGGGCGGTTCTTGTGTTTCCCACGGAGTCTAGCAAAGAATCAAAGCAATTTTTTCACATGATTCACCGTGGAATCTCTGGTCTCCTCACTCCCGTACTCATCCTCAGAGGAAGGTGATGAGGTTGAAATCACTAAACCTAATCTAATCACCAAGTCAAAAATCAGGTCTACGAAAGGGCAAAATGATCAGGATTTCAGAAAATTATCTGGAAAAAAAAAAGTACCTGGAATTCACTTAGATCTAATTCAAGAAAACTAATTCAATTTTGCTGTCAACCACCAGCTACTTAGGCTGTTGGGAAAATGAGGTAAACGTGGGGATGCCTAGCCCTGAACCCAAGCAGTGTAGAGTCCGTATTAGGCACATCATAAAGTCTCCAGTATGTCTAACTAGGTCTCCATGCCTGTATATCTGGCAGTTATTATTACTACGAATAGGGAAAAAAAGAATAACACTACCAAAAAGGGATAGGAAGTTGATTTCCCCTGTGTCCTAGCACCTGGCTCCAACTTCTAAAGCTAATGATCTTTCCACTCACTCCTGATTTCAAAAAATGATCAAAGGATAAGTCAGGCATAGTGAGTCACATGTTTATCTCAGCAGAAGAGAGAAAACAGCAAAATCAAGAGGTCAAGGCAATCTGGGATACAGGAGACCTTGTCTTAAAAAAAAGTGTGGCAGAACACATCTGTAGTACCAGCACCCAGAAGGAGGCTGAAGCAGGAGGATCCTAGTTTGAGTTCAGCCTGAGATACACAATGAGACCTTGTCTCAAACAAAAAAGTATGACAAAGTGAATCAGTACGGGAAGGACTGTGTGTCACAACCAGGTGGATTTTGTTATACTCTTAAAGACAAAAGCGTCCAACTCATGAGATAAGCTGAAGTTCCAACTCGGAGGCCCTGGGCCTATGACCAGCTCATATATTTCAGGTAACAGTATGTTAACAGAAGACTGGAACTGGGCATGGGAGATGGCTCAGTGCTTCAAGGCTAGGCTCACAGACAAGAAGACAGAAGCCTGTCCTGAAGGGTCCACTAGTGACCCAATCGGGAGCATGCATCGGATGGTTATCCATAAAAAGGTTTTCTGCTTTGGGGATTGTAGATAGCCTGCTTCTAGAAGATGGCCAGCTGAGATAGTGTACTGCCTTGGATTCCCAGGGCACGGCGCAATCACAGATGTCTGAGCACCATCAACTCACAAGTTTCTGGCTAGACTGAGAAGTACCATGAATTATGAAATCACTTGGGTTCAGAGTCTAGGTTTAAGAGTGTTGGGCAAAATTGGAAAGCTGAGGCTTCCTGAGGAGCACTCTCTCCCCATTCTCTGAAACCTCCCAGTAAAAGAAAAAAGAAAAAAGGGGGTGGTAGTGACATTGCAACCTTCTCAGATAACTACCATGAAAATGTACCCATTGGCTCCTTTATGCCTCTACTGACATTTCTAGATTCATCTGTTTCTGATTCTATCACTTGGACAAATTTAGAACTCCAAACCCCAACACTGAGAACACTTCTGTGCCAGTTGCTGCTTATATTCACCAATCGCTTAGCAGCAGCAATCATTACTGTCAGTCAACATCTGTGTTTGCATGAGGTGGAGGAGCCAAGGGAAAGCAACCAGTAGCAAGAGCAAAGTAGTCCTAGAGGTGGGCTGGAGAAGCGGCTCCGAGGCTAAAAGCATGTACTGTTCTGGAGAGGTCAGGTCCCAGCACCATGTCAGGTGGCTCCTAAGTCACCACTTATAACTCCAGCTCCAGGGCATCCCACATCCTCTTCTGGCCTTCATGGGCACCTGCATTCACATGCACAACCACTTACACATGCACATATACACATAATTAAAAAATAAAAATAGGGCTGGAGAGATGGCTCAGCGGTTAAGAGCACTGGCTGTTCTTCCAAAGGTCCTGAGTTCAATTCCCAGCAACCACATGGTGGCTCACAACCATCTGAAATGAAGTCTGGTGCCCTCTTCTGGCCTGCAGGCAAACATGTAGGCAGAACACTGTATACATAATAAATAAATCTTAAAAAAAAAAAAAAAAAAAAAAAAAAAAAACTTCTTGGAGGGAAACAAGGGAAGAGAACTGGGATCTCTAAGCCAGTTCTCAGGGAGGAAATAGGTGTGAAAGTTGCAGGAAAAAGAATATTCACAAATCCAGGTGGCTGGCAATCAGGACCACAAGTTTTGTTTGTTTGTTTGTTTGTTTGTTTGTTTGTTTTTATAATTTAATAGGACTAGCCTGGCTTTAGGAAATATGTGCCAGAGTAAGAGCAAGGGGTCCTGCAGCCAGTTTCCTATCAGTTTTATCCACCACGTTTAAAATATTTGTTTTTAGAGATGCTGATGTGAGGTTTGCCCCATCCAGGCCTGAAAGAAGAAAGATACTGGGTAAATTTTCCTTCTTTTGGTTAGGGCCTTTGTACCTGAGCTGGTGTGTTGCTTGCTTTCTTATTGGGTGAGCAAAGAAATAAGACATTCTAACACACACACACACACACACACACACACACACACACACACACACACAAGAGAGAGAGAGAGAGAGAGAGAGAGAGAGAGAGAGAGAGAGAGAGAGAGAGCCAACTTCCTGCTTTAGAACTGTGTAGTCTTGTATAAGAAAAGGGAGGAAGTTGTCTTGTAAATGGTCACCATCCTGTTGTCTAGACATCAAGGAAGAGATGTAGGCTTAGGGAAGCTACAGGAGCAGCAGAGGGCTGCACTCGGATTTCCTGTCAGAGCGGGACTCTTGTATTTACATACAAAATAGGATCCCACCAAAGCACCCCCACCAACATAGTTTGCTTAGAGCAGGATTTAGTGTTAAATGAGTTCATCCTGGACCCCTCCCCCGAGTATTGTTACTTAGCAACAGGAACATCATCACGGCTAGTGTAGTACTGCAGTGTCAGCAGCAGAGTAAGAGCCTTGCAATCTCAAAGATATTAATACCAGGTCATTCCTCCCCCTCCCATATATAAATACCTTATGACTAACAGCTCACATTTGTAGTACATTATCCAGAGTCAGGGGAAAATTTGTGGCTTTGTAATGAAGAAGTCATATGAGTTAACCAGAGTGAAATCCACCCATGTCCTTGACCTGATTAGTCCAGTATGCTAAGCAGCTGAACCGAGTGTCCATGGCAGAATGATAGCAATTCTAACAGAACTCAAGACTTCTAGACATTGTTATGTCACCTGGAAAGTTCTATGCCAGTGATAGTTTTTTTTAACTGCAGCTGGACAGTAAAGCATGTGCTTTTGGAAGTGCAATTTAAATACAATATATCTAAAATTCTAAAACAAACAAACAAAAAAAACCAATAATGTAGTATGGGGTCATAGATGACTCAGTGGGTAAAAGTACTTGCCACATAAGCTTGAGGACTAGAGTTGGGGATCCCCTGCACCCATATAAAAGCTGGGCAGGCATGGGGGTCTGCTTGTGATCCCAGTATTGGCAAAGTAGGAGATGGGTGTTTCCTGAGGTGAGCTGGATAGCTAGACCAGCCATACCAAGAGGCACTGGGTTCAAGTGAGAGACCCTGCCTGAATACATAGGGTGAAGAGTGAGTGAAGAAAACATGGCCTGTCAACCTCTGGCCTCTACAAGCAAATGCACCCATGTGCATTCCCACTCACAAATATGTGTACTCACACATGTAAGTACACATAACATATACACATAAGAAAGAAAGAAAAGTACTGTAGTGTTCGGACTAGAGATGTGACTCGTTTGGTCGTGTGTTTAACTTGCATGAATCCCTGAGTTTGATCCCCTGCACTGCATGACACTGGGCATGGTCGTCCATATCTATGCCTGGGAGTGCAGGCAAGGTTATCTTCCGCTACATTGTGAATTCCAGGCTAGCCTGGGATAGGGGAGATCCTGTTTCAAAATTAAATAAATACCATAGTATTTATAGTATATATATATAATATAAATGTATATATTATATATATGAAGAGTACTCCAGGAAATGGGCTCTGAGACAGTGAGATATATATATCAAATGATTATTAATGAATGTTTCTGCAACAAGTAAGGGAATACAATCATGTAGAAGAAAAACCGAGGCCCTCCCATCTGCCAGCCAACCATCAGCCAGCCACGTGTCCTCAGCAGCCCACAGCTTGTGAACAAATGCCTTGGCTCTGAATTGTGGTCTGGGAGGTGGTACCCTAGGCCGTCTGCTACAATTGTTGATCAGTCTTGCTTCCCAAGTACCTTTCCCCATTCTTCCTGCCCAGTAAAGTGTGAGGTGAATAAGGCATGGTACAGCTCATTCTCCTAATACACAAAGAGAAAGAAGTCCACAGAATGTTGAAGACTTGCCTGGAGTCACCTGAGACTGTCTTTGGCTCCTACTCATCTTTTCTTTTTAGAATAGGATTATTTTTAGACAGTGTCTCATTGTGCAGCCAGACTGGCCAGAACTTGTTGGCCTTGAATTCAGAGGTCCTCCTGTCTCTGCCTCTGGAGTACTGGGATTAAGATGTGTGCTGTCTCTAAATCTTCTTAAATTTATTTTTATTTTATGTGCATTGGTCTTTTGTCTGCATGTATGTCTGTGTAAGTGTGTTGGGTCCCCTAGAACTGGTGTTACAGACAGTTGTGAGCTGCCACCTGAGGTGCTGAGAATTGAACCTGGGTCCCATGGAAGAGCAGCCAGTGCTCTTAACCAACCACTGAGCCATATCTCCAGCCCCCTGTCTTTTAATTTTTAGATGGTATGTGTCGGTGTGTGCACACACAAGTGTGCTTGCAGAGAAAAGAGGGTCAGATTGCTGGAGCTGAAGTTACAGATGGTTGTGGATGCATGCATGACCTTTGTGCAGGAAATGTAACTCCAGGCTTCTGGAAGAGCAGCAAGTATTCTTAACCGATAAACCATATCTTCTGGCCCTTTTCTTTAGACATGGACTTACAATGTAGCTCTAGGCTGGCCTCCAACTTAACATTCTCCTGCCCAAGCCCCTTAGAGTGTTAAGATTATGAGTGTAAACCTGGTTTTCTTCATCATCATCATTGTTGTTGTTTTGTTTTTTGAGACAGAGTTTCTCTGTGTAACCCTGGCTGTCCTGGAACTCACTCTGCAGACCAGACTGGCCTCGAACTCAGAGATCCTCCTGCTCTGCCTCCCAAGTCCTAGGATTAAAGGCATGAGTCGCCACTACCTGGGTTTTTTTTTGTTTGTTTGTTTGTTTGTTTGTTTGTTTTGAGATAGTCTTTTTATGTAGCCCTGGATGGCCTAGAATTAGGTATGTAGAGCTGACTGGCCTTGAACTCAGAGATCTGCCTGCCTCTGCTCCCAAATTCTGGGATTAATCTCTCCAATCAAACTCAATCTTTTCAAACTTTCATTCTAATAGTTTTGAGGGGGTTGAGGTGGAGAGATGGCTCAGTGGCTAAGAGCACTGACTGTTCTTCCACAGGACCTCCATTTGAGTCCCAGCACCCATATGTAACTCCAGGGGATCTGACTTCTTCTGACCTCTGTGGGCACTGCACATGGTGCAGACATACATGAAGACACAATACCCATACATCTAAAAATAATTTTTAAAAAGAGAGAAAAAATATTTTTTTATAGTTTTAATGAGATGGGGGTGGGGAGAATGAAACTTTTTGTTCTCGCTCTCTCATACCATTTTGTGAAGTTTAAGGCAGAAGAAAATGGCTTTTTTTTTTTTTGCAGATTAAGTACATGATATTCTTTTTGGGTTCTAAGTTAAATACTCTGCAGACACACACATACAACTATTCCCTTTTCTTTCCAAACTAACACCACAGTAGCACATAGCTATTCCCAAGAAAACATATATTTCCGTTTTCCCTCTCTTTTTTAGAAATGGATGCCGCAGAGCTGGAGAGAAGGCCCAGCCACTGAGAACACTGGCTGCTTTTGCAGAGGACCTGGGTTGGACTCCCAGCACCCAGAAGGCAGCTCACAACCACCTGTCACTCCGGGGAAATCTGACACCTTCTGTTCTCTGAGAACAGGCAACAAGTGGATCATAGACATGTATGCAGGCAAAGCACCCGTACACATAAAAGTAAATTTTAAGCCGGGCGGTGGTGGCGCACGCCTTTAATCCCAGCACTCAGGAGGCAGAGGCAGGCGGATCTCTGTGAGTTCGAGGCCAGCCTGGGCTACCAAGTG